TGTGTGTGTGTGTGTGTGTGTGTGTGTGTGTGTGTGTGTGCGTGTTTGTGCGTGTGCGTGTCAGCGTATTTCTGTAGCCAGATTTGCAAAGCAGTAAAGTTGAAATTTCGGCTAATCAGCCTCTATTTACAAGTCCTATGTGTAAAGGGAGACTTTATTTCCTTCTATTTTTTTGCACAAAGGGGTAAAAAGTCGAAAGTGTTTGGCTAGCTGTATTAACGGCGAGAAGAAGAAACGCGATGAAACAGCAGCGAAATATATCCAGTTAAAATACAACGTAATTTTAAATATGCATATCAGTGTTTCTTATCGCGACCAATACAGCGAATAAGCTTTTTCTTCCCTTTGAAACTCAAATAGGTCTAGTGTTAAGTGCAAGTACAGTTTTCTAATTTCGGACAAATTTGGCACTTATTTACCCTGCAACCAGTTTAAGCAGAAAATTCTGTGAGAATGTTTGTTATCCAAGTGAAAGTCTGCAAGTACAAAATAATTTCTGCCTTCGCATATGCTCCGCATACGGACGAGTCAAATGTTCACAAGCTGCAGCTTGTCTGCAGTCTTTCTCTCTCGGTAACCAGACAACCAAGAAAGCAGAAATTTCACTTTAATATCTTGTGCATTATTAAAAGCATAAAATCAGCTTTTACAAATGACTGCGTCTCACTTACAGAAACGGCGAATGTGAAAGTGCATTTTGCCGACAACACCTAAATGTAAAATTTACAGCAAGTAAATACTGAAAATTCAGATTTCACGCAATTCCGCGAAGCAGTTCTATGGTACTTCTTTTTCACCGCATGCATCAAAAGTCCAAAATGTTACCAACATGAGTGCATATGTTAAACTTAACGGTTTGTGAATTTATGATTCATACAAAGAAGCATTATCAAATGGGCAAGTCTGGTGCCTTGATATTTGGATATGTATTTACGTGTGCGATCGCACTTTTATTTGCGCTCAACAAAGTAAACTTTATTGATTTAGAACAATTTAAGCATGGGTGCACTCACATTTAAGTAAAAGAGTGGAAATATGGGCAAAAATTACTACTGAACTTTCTGTATTCATACGTATGAGTGCTGATTATATTTATACTTATACTTTGCTGGCAGTGGCAAAAGCTGCGTTTTAGTGAGTGATTCTCGAGAAGAAAACGCCCATCCAGAGTTTCCCAAAAAAGTGATGCAGATACATCAAACAGGCAGTGGAATAATTAAAGATGTCAAGTATGAGTTCAAGGAACTTGAACTGCTGCGCTTGGCGTCAAGGACTATCTCAGTAATAGCACAAAATGGGATACCAATACTGATTGCTCGAATAGTCTTTATATTTTTGGCTTATGCTGGAAAATTGATTACTCTTTTCACTGTTAATACCATGAAACGAAGACAGAAAGCATAAAAGTAACTTTTATCTCTATCAAAGGTAGTCGAAAATAATTAGGAAATAAGAGAAATCCTAGGATAATCACTGAAAAGTAACAATATTAGACAACTTATGGAGTGAGAATTGAGTCCCACACTTCTTTTTCGCGCAAACGTTGCTCCAGTGTTGGCTCATCTAAAATTTATTTTCCTTTAATGTTTCGAATAACTGACGATTCTTAGCACTGCAGCTGGGCAATTTGCTTTGACCAATGCCACATCATCAGAGGTGATCATTTCCTTGCAGTCTTGTTGGTCATTTCTTTCTTAAAGAGAACTACCAGCTCAATAGTTCACCCAACAGAAACACTTTGGCAAGGCTGTAGCCGTTTCAAGATGTCGATTTTTTTTTGTTGAGCATCATTTCAGCCCGAACATT